CGGGCCTGCGTGCTCATGCTAGGCATAGGCTTCAGTGATTTACAAATGGGTGAAAGTGCTCAGAGCAGCGTGACACCCAGGAAAGGGATGGGAGTGATGAGAGGCAGGGAGGACCCAAGAGAAGGAGCAGAGGCTGGTGCAAACACCACCTCCGTGTCTTCAAGGCCAGCTCACCTTTGCCTCAAATGCTGCAAGCCCCACATAAACCTGGCAGGCCCTCCTCCACCACAGTCTCTGGCAGTGACACTGATGAGCCGGGTCAGACTTTCCTGGACCAACCCGCAACCCTCTCCAAACCCCATGCCTCCAGGCTGACCTCCATGACGGGTCCTGCCAAACTGACCAAAACTCATTTCCTTGCAGCCCCGTGCAAGAACCTGCTGGGGCTCCCCACTGCTTGGCCAGGGCATCAGATTTTAGAAGGCCTTGGATGTAGGCCAAGGGGTCTGGACTTGCATCTGGGGGCAATGGGGGGATGCAGGACACCCCGAGATCGGACGCTTCTTTTCTGGGAACGGCACTAAGGGTCTCTTATCTCCACGCTAGGGTCACCCTTCACTCCTTCCCTCATGAAGACAAAATGTTTAGAGCACTTAGCAGGAGCCTGGCACATGCTAAATAAAGGCTTTCAATGTGTTGTCCTGTCTGCCTAGAACATTCGCCCCTCCCTGCCGCAGCTCCCCCACCAGCAGGCTGATCTCTTATTATTCAGAGCTCAGCTCGCCTGGAAGCCTTCCCTGACCACCCAAATCAAATGCTTTCCACCCACCCCAGCACCATCACTTCACTTGGTTTTACTATATTCATGAACGCAGGGATATCAGAAATGAACTTGATCATTTGTTTGTCTGAGGTCAGTCACCTTCAGACAAACCTTTGTCTAACCTTCACTAGAAGTTGCTGAGAGCAGTTCTAGGAGCTGCTTTTCAGGGCTGCTCCCCGGGCCCCAGCAGGGAGTTGGCACCCATGTGAAATCAAACTGTCCCAAGGGTCCCTTAATTGTTGCTCTTGCCTGCCAGGCTCTTTTGGCCTCCTCTGGCGCCCCAGGTCTGGGCACCCTAAATCCTCACAGAAAAGCAATTATTAAGAGTGCTTTCTCCAGCTCCAGGCACAGGCTCGGACTCACTACCCCCTTCTCTGCCATCACACACAGCGGCCAACTCCTACCAGTCTCTGCCCCTGTACCAGCTCTATGACTGGAGGCAGCTATGCCCAATCCTAAGTACCCAGCCCAGAGCCCCGGCTGAGGCCCCAGGCTGCGCCACGGCAGCCAGCCTCAGCCCAACCAGGCAGGGGGAAGGCTTCTTTACATGGGGCTGCTGGCCCAGTTTCTACCCCTCCCAAAACCAGGAGGCCAGCCAAAGAGGGGAGGAGGGCCGAGCCCAGGTGGGGGCAGTTCTAGGAACTACAAGGAGATTGGGGGAAGGGAGGGAATGAGGTGACAAGCCATCATTAAACCCAGATCTAGCTGATACCACTCGACCCAGCAGTTTTGTGGTTCCTGCCTCAGGTACTGAGGCTGCCAAATCAACGTTCCCAGGACACACTGGTAACAGCTTTGCAGTTAGCCCAGAGAGAAGGAACAAAAGCAGGGGTGGTCTGACTGGGGACCAAATAGAGGAAAAGATAAACCAGGAAAAAGAGCAAAAATCCAGCTCCAGAGCCAGGTTCCATCCTCATAACCACCTCCCTCTGCCAGCCCACAGCTCTGTGACCCCTGACCTCTTGGCTCCCATTATAACAGGGATGACCTTGCCTCTGGGAAAAAAGCTTCCACTGATCTGGCTCCCTGGGACACCAGCAAAACTGTCCGCAAGGGATGAGCAAGAGAAAAGTCCTGGACAGAGAATTCCCATCAGGGAATCCAGAACAGTGGGCTTTTCCAGTCACGCCCCTAAAAGGCCAGCTCCAGGGGACTGCGGGCTGGGGCGGAGGGTCAGTCAATCCCAGTCGGCCACTGTCTAGCTGTGGGACCTGGGACAAGCCTTGGGGCCGCAGCCTCCTCCCCAGCACGATGAAGAAGGCCTAAGCTGACCTGGTGGTGGTGAGCAATCAATGAGCTCATCTAACCAGCAAGCTCAGCACAGGGCCTGCCCCAGGAAGAACGCTGCAGAGGCAGAGCCCTGGGACCCGGAGCACCAAAGGCCTGGGCCAGGGTGTAGGTGCCTGGTTTGATCCCTTTCTTGGTGACCTGCCTTCACCCCATCAGAAGCCTTCGAGACACAATGAACAGAGCTTTATATGCTCACCTCCCAGTAACTCACCTGCGGAGAGCTGGTGCCTGAAAGGTAGTGAGGTCCCAACCCCTAGGCTTGAGCCTCAAGGCTCTGGTCACAAAAAGTGGGAAAAGAATCTTAGGACCCTAAGATACTCAGATAACAAGGGCTGGGCTGCCTCCCTACAGATATATGGGGTGGGGGTGGGCAAAAGGGTGGTAAACAAGATGCCCGAGCTAGGTGTTCCAGACTATTTCCCAAGCTGCCCACACAAACGCCCACCTGGCGGGCTAGCACCTTGGAGCAGCCAGCAGAGGCTTGCCCAAAGGGTATGTCGGGACCCAGAGCCTGAGACAGGCAGGGATGAGGTGTGAGAAAGAAACCCCTCAGATTTGGCCCCACGCTAACACCTGGACGGGGAAGGGGGGAGGGGGTGCACCTTGGCACTTGCCTTTTGATCACACTAGTTTCTCCGGACCTGCTCCCACATCCCCACTAGCCTACTTAGCGCAAAGGCTCTGCCTCCCCCGGACTCCCAAAGCTCCTACAGTAGTTCCTCAACCTACCTGATCGCCTCCGTATCAGGTCCTCGCCACCCCCTCCCCACTCTCCGAACTGAAACCTCATGTGACCCCTGCAAACATTTCAGGGATCTCCTAACCGCCCCCACTAGAACTAACTCCGCCCACACCCACCCTGCCCCACTTCCTGGGCTTCTCCTCAACCGCCCCCAGGCCTGTAACCTGACCCACCTCCTCCAGCGCCCCGACTGTACCTGCCAGCCCGGCCCCTCCCCGCCCCCCCTCGGGGCCGTTTCCCTCCGGCCAAGCCACTCTCCCCTCCTCCCCCATTCGGCCGGCCCAAAGCCCGACTCCTCCTCCCCCTCCCCCTCCGGTCTCCCCGGCGCCTCCTCACTTTTCCTCCACCGGCCCTCCCTCCAACTTCCCGGCCCCCAGCCACGCCTGCACCTGCCCGGGCCTGGTCTCGCTCCCCTCTCGCGGGGAATGACAGGAGGAGGTCTGGGCCCGATCCCGACGCCCCCAAGCTCCGCGGCCCGGCCCGGGGCTGGACGCTCAAGGCCGCTCGCGGGGACCGGGACTCTCCGCACTCGGGCCGGGGCACAGTGCAGGCTGCTAACCAGGTTCCTCCCCGGTCGGAGGAGGCCCCCATGTCCTCCCGCCTCAACCCTTAGCCGGACCTCGGATGCCCTCCGACCGTCCCGGCGAAAGGAGGCCGGAACCGGGCCTGGGGCGGGCCGCCTCACCTGCGCCGTGGCCGCGCTCCGGGGGCTCCCGGCGAGCTCCGCAGCGGCGGCTGGGGCCGGGCCTGGGCCCGGGGCGCGCCCCCCTGCGCCGGGGCCTCGGCGTCCGCCTCCGCGGCCTCCGCGGCCTCCGCGGCCTCCGCTTCAGCAGCAGCGGCAGCCGCGGCGGCCATTCATTGTGGGCCAGGCCGCCCCAGCCGAGCGCCGAGCGAGCGCAAGGCGCGCCGCCGCCGCCGCCGCCGCCGGGCCGGGGAGGAGCGGCCGTGGCCCCGCCCACGCACCGCCCCCGGTGCCCGCCCCCGAGGCTAGGCCAGCCGAGCGCCGAGCGCGCCCCTTCTCTCCTCAGTCTCTTCCCTCGGCCCCTCGGAATCCCCGGCTGGACCTTGGCTCTGCAGCAGAGTTCGAGTCCCGACCTCGCCACCATCTAGTCCCGCGACCTTAAACAAGTCGCTCTGCCTTTCGGAACTTTAGTTTCCTGTAAAAACGCAAACAATAATATCTGCTGTTTATTGTGCCAGGAACTGTTTTAGGTTCTTTAGGGGATTATCTCGTTTAAACTTCACAGTAGTATATTTAGGTAGGAATCATTTTATAAACACAGACACACACACTTTATAGAAAATAAGAAAGGGAGGCACAGAGAGATGAAGAAACCTGCTCCAGGTCACACAGCAAGGAAGTGGTGGCGGGTGCCAGGATTCAAAACCGGGCCCAAGAAGAAACAATAAACGTTAACACTTGTACGATGCTTATGCGATGCCAGGTTCCATTCTAAGCATTCTACCTGCACTAACTCGTTTAATTCTCATCACAACTCAATAACGAACGTTAAAAAGTTCTGCCCATTTTGCAAATGGGGAAATATAAGCAGAGAGCATTAAGAACAAGTAGGAAGGCAAGCTGGGGCTGGAACCAGTCAGTACCGACACTACGGTCTCCTTTCCTACACCGGTTAGAACCTTCTGAGGGTTTGCTATGTGAGAGAGCCTACTTTGCACATTTTCCAGGCATTCTGTCGTTTAATCTCTGCTCTATCTTGGAAGCTAGGGCTCTTATTTAACAGGTAAGGAAAGTGAAGCCCAGAGAGTTTAAGTAACTTGTCAAGAGCATGTGGTAGGACTGGGATTCAAACGCAGGAAATCTGATTTCAGAGTCTGAGTTATTCCCGCAGGGTGCCCTGACATACTGTGTTTACAAAACCCAGCACACAGGAGGCGATCAATAGGTGTTGGATTTCTCCGCTTACCGCCCCTTTTGAGTCTCACCTTCCTCATCCGTGATATGGGGCTAGTGAGGTGTCCCCTCCCAGAGGAGCCGCAGTGATTAAGGCCGTCACACTACACTTTCAGCGCTTTCCGCCGTGCATTTTGATCCCAGCTGCCCACTATAGGTAACATCAATGATTGACTAAATTCTGTCACATGATCTGCCCTCCCACTGTGCCAACATGGCGGCGCCCAGGTCCTAATCTGGGGAAACGTGCACCGAGACCAATTTGGGTTTCGGTGCCGCAAGAGAAGGTGAGGGGGGCCTGGGCGACGCGGGGAGGGATCCGGACCATGGGTGGGCCCGCTCGAGGGCTTCCGGCTTCTCAGGGACAGTCCTCCAAAGACGGGGGGGGGTGTCAATTTACTGAGGTCACAGGGTTTCCTTAGTCCCTACTTGACACTTGTGTAGGCCATCCGGCCAGGAAAGCAGCTCTCTGATGCTTTGGCTATTCTCTCCCCCGCCCTCCGAACTAGGCTTGGCGGGCAGAAGCGCCCGCGGATGTCCCGTGCGAGGATCGTTCTGTGGCTAAGCCTGACTCTCCGCTCCGCCCGCAGCTTCTCTAGAGCCCGGTTTATGGAGGGGCAGCCCCAAGGGCCGCCAAATCCAGCGGCGATGGAGAATGGCACCGAGCCCTGCGGGGAAGAGCGCCCACCTGAGGTTCAGGAGACGACGGTCACTGAGGGGGCCGCCAAGATCGTCTTCCCCAGCGCAAACGAAGTTTTCTACAACCCAGTGCAGGAGTTCAACCGGGACCTGACGTGAGCAGAGTCCGGGGTCAGCTTGGCAGAGGGCAGTGGGTCTATGAGGATGAAGGGGTGTGAACTGACTCTTCGTCTCCCGCAGATGTGCTGTGATTACCGAGTTTGCTCGCATTCAGCTTGGGGCCAAAGGAATCCAGAGTGAGTAGAGGTCCAGGCTCCTGGTGGGCAGGGGTGCCACGCAGAGCTCTCTCGTTGCCCCGCCCCTTCTCTCCCTTACCTTCCAGAAAGACTCCAGCCGTATAGCACGCCCTGGGCTCTGCTCCTCTGCCTTTCTCCAGGGACTTTGGGGAAGATTTCCTTCCCTGAATCTTCTGTATTCTGAAGAGTAGGGGGAGGTTTCTCAGGTGGCGCTTTGATATCCCCTAACTTGTGCTTCTGATGGCTGCAGTCAAGGTGCCAGGTGAGAAGGATTTGCAAAAGGTGGTCGTGGACTTGTCGGAGCAAGAGGAGGACAAGGCTGAACTGAAAGAGGGTGCAAACCTGGCCCCGGGAGACCAACCTCGAACAGCTGCCGTGCGGGATATCTGCGAGGTGGGGCCTGAACGTAGGAGGTAGCAGCCCTGGAGTCCAGTGGGTGGTAAAAGAAGGAAGGCTCCTGGAGGGAGAGAGCGATAGGAGCTGGGAGGGGGGGCTCCTTGGCGCCCAGCAGAGGATGGAGGCATGGATGTGAGTGGGGCTCCCTGCTTACTCCAACAGGAAGGCCTGCGAGTGCTGGAAGGCCTGGCAGCCTCCGGCCTACGTTCCATTCGCTTTGCGCTAGAGGTGCCTGGGCTCCAATCCGTGGTTGCCAATGATGCCTCTGCCCAAGCCGTGGATCTCATGCACCGTAATGTGCAGCTCAACGATGTGGCCCACCTTGTACAGCCCAGCCAGGCAGATGCCCGGTAGGTGCTGGGAATTAGAGGCTAGCTGCTGGAAGGTGCTTTCTGGAACAAAGGCCCCTGGGGTCAAATCCTGGCTGTGTCATGATCTTGCTCTGTGACCTTGGGAGAGTGGCCTTAGCCTCTTAGAGCCCGAGTTTCCTTGTCTATAAAACAAGGACAGTAGTTTTATGGGGCCTGCTGTATTTTATAGGGGTTACTGATTATAGCTGTGTGGCTTGTGCTCGGAGGTGGAAATAAGTACCATTACGGTCTCCATTTTAGACTCAACTTCTTGTACTTTTATTCAGTCAAGTGAACCAGTGTATATCCAGCGCCAGGCACCATTCTTTTTTTTTTTTTTTAATAAATTTATTTATTTATTTTTGGCTGCATTAGGTCTTCGTTGCTGCGCGTGGACTTTCTCTAGTTGCGGTGAGCTGGGGCTACTCTTTGTTGTGGCGCACGGGCTTCTCATTGCGGTGGCTTCTTTTGTTGTGGAGCACGAGTTCTAGGCACGCAAGCTTCAGTAGTTGTGTCACGTGGGCTCAGTAGTTGTGGCTCGAGGGCTCTAGAGCACAGGCTTAGTAGTTGTGGCGCACGGGCTTGGTTGCTCCGCAGCATGTGGGATATTCCTGGACCAGGGCTCAAACCCATGTCCCCTGCATTGGCAGGCAGATTCTTAACCACCGCACCGCTAGGGAAGTCCCCAGGAGCCATTCTTTCTGTCAGGACTGCATCGGTAAACAATACAGACAAAATCCCTGACCTTGGGGCTTCCCTGGTGGCACAGTGGTTGAGAGTCCGCCTGCAGATGCAGGGGACACGGGTTCGTGCCCCGGTCTGGGAAGATTCCCACATGCTGTGGAGCGGCTGGGCCGCTGAGCCTGCGCGCCCGGAGCCTGTGCTCCGCAGAGGGAGAGGCCATAGCAGTGAGAGGCACGCGTACCCCAAAAAAAAAAAAAAAAAAAAAAAAAAAATCCCTGACCTTGTGGAGTTCATAATGCAGGGGTCAGCAAACTACAGCCTGCGAGGCCCACAGCCTGTTTTTTTATGGCCTGCCATCTAATAATGTTTTTCACATTTTTAAACGTTTAGAAAAAGAAGAATATGTGATAGGGACCATATGTCTCCCAAAAAGCCTAAAATACTTACTACCTGACCCTTTACAGAAAATAAATGAATTAAAAATGTTTGTTTTCTTGACCATATTAGAATCTAATAGGGGGACTTCCCTGGTGGTCCAGTGGCAAAGAATCCACCTTACAACGCAGGGGATGCGGGCTTGATCCCTGGTCAGGGAACTAAGATCCCACATGCTGCGGGGCAACTAAGGCCACGCACCACAACTACTGAGCTCGCGCTCCTCAACTAGAGCCCGCGTGCCACAAACTACAGAGCCCACACGCTCTGCGACCCGCGTGCCACAAGCAGAGGAGAGAAAACACTCACGCCACAACTAGAGAGAAGCCCACGCACCAACAAAGAGCCCGCGTGCCACAACAGAGACCCGACGCAGCCAAGAATAAATATAAATAAATAAATAAATAGTAAATAAATCTTTTTTTTTAAAAAAAAAGAATCTAATAGGAAACAGATGATAACCAATGATCATGACAAATAAATAAACTGTGTAGTAAACTAGAGGTGAGAAGTGCTGGAGGCAGGGGTGAAATAACAGGGTACAAGGGATGGACGAAGGAAGGGTTGCAGTTATAAATTACATGATCAGGAACATTTGCATTTTCTCACCTGCAAAGAACAACAATAGTTTCAGATCTGTTGAAGATTGTGTGATTAGATGAGTTAATACATTTATAAACCGCTTGAAACAGTGTCAGGTAAATATGTGCCACGTCGGTATTGGCTATTATTATTGCCATCTTGTTTTTCTGTTTTTCTTGTTTTTGGGTTTTCTTTTTTTTTTTTTTTTTGGCCGCGCTGCATGGCTTATGGGATCTTAGTTCCCCGACCAGGGATTGAACACAGGCCCTTGGCAGTGAAAACACGGAGTCCTAACCACTGGACCGCCAGGGAATTCCCTATTTTTATTGCCGCTGTTAGACAGGTAGACAGACCCAAGGAGGAAAAGTTAATATAGTTAGCAGATGGATAAGCCAGGATCTGAAGCCGCCCAGCTGGCCCCCAAGTCCAGGCCAAAACCATCACATTGTATGAGTGAACGTGTGTAGGGGACAGCACGGGTCCCTGGTGCAGGGAGCTGAGGACCTGGCCCTCTCGCTCCTAGGATGCTGATGTACCAGCATCAGAAGGTGTCGGAGCGGTTTGATGTCATTGACCTGGACCCCTATGGCAGCCCCGCCCCCTTCCTGGATGCAGCTGTGCAGGCTGTGAGTGAAGGAGGTGAGGCCAGCCTGATGCAAGGGTGGGGTGGGGATGGGTTGGGGGGGTTACGTACTGAGCAGGGCTTGGGGTGTTGGAGGGTCCTCACTGCCGGGTCCCTCCCCACAGGGCTGCTGTGTGTGACCTGCACAGACATGGCAGTGCTGGCGGGGAACAGTGGGGAGACATGCTACAGCAAGTACGGGGCCATGGCCCTCAAGAGCCGGGCCTGCCACGAGATGGTGAGGGGCCTCCCAACTCTCATCCCACCCCCAGACCTGCTGGGCCAGATGCATCCCAGGATTTCGATGACAAGCACGTTCTTTGTGTTTTTTTTTAAAATATTTATCTATTTATTTATTTTTTTGGTTGTGCTGGGTCTTAGTTGCAGCAGGCGGGCTCCTTAGTTGTGGCATGCGAACTCTGAGTTGCGGCACGCGTGTGGGATCTAGTTCCCTGACCAGGGATCGACCCCCGGCTTCCTGCATTGGGAGCACGGAGTCTCAGCCACTGTGCCACCAGGGAGGTCCCAACAAGCATGTTCTTTAACCCACATAGTTCCTGAGAGCATGGCTGCCAAATATGGCCCTTTGGGGGTGGGGTGGGGCAGTAATTTTGCCCAGGATAAGAGTGGGTGATCACATTATTCTTTCTAGTATTCTCTACTTCAAGAACTTTGCAATTTTCTTTTCTTTGTTTTTTTTTTTTTTTTTTTTTGGCCGCACTGCATGACCTACAGGATCTCAGTTGCCCGACCTGGGATTAAACCCAGGCCATAGCAGTGAAAGCCTGGAATCCTCACCACTAGACCACCAGGGAACTCCCACAGAATTATTATTATTATCTTTAATTTTATGCTTCTTATTTATTTATTTATTGGCTGCTTTGGGTCTTCATTGCTGCGCGCAGGCTTTCCCTAGTTGCGGCGACCCGTGGCTACTCTTTGTTGTGGTGCGCGGCTTCTCATCGCGGTGGCTTCTCTTGTTGTCAAGCACGGGCTCTAGGCACGTGGGCTTCAGCAGTTGCAGCACACGAGCTCAGTAGTTGCAGCACGCAGGCCCTAGAGTATGCAGGCTTCAGTAGTTGCAGCGTGTGGGCTCGGTAGTTGTGGCACGCGGGCTCTAGAGTGCAGGCTCAGTAGTTGTGGCACACGGGCTTAGTTGCTCCGCAGCATGTGGGATTCTCCTGGACCAGGGATCAAACCCTTGCCCCCTGCATTGGCAGGCAGATTCTTAACCACTGTGCCATCAGGGTTGTCCACAAAATTTTTTTTTTTTTTTTTTTTTTTGGTACGCGGGCCCCTGGAGCACAGGCTCCGGACGCGCAGGCTCAGCGGCCACGGCTCACGGACCCAGCCGGACCGGGGCACGAACCCGTGTCCCCTGCATCGGCAGGCGGACTCTCAACCACTGCACCACCAGGGAAGCCCACAAAATTATTTTTTAAAGGCAGTTTTTCCAGGTTTGCATTTGGCTCTGGGTTCAGGTCCTAGTTTTTTGCTGGAGGCTTTGGGCAAGTGACTTCACCTTTTCTGGGCCTCTGTTTTTGCATCTGTGAAATGGGTATGATGATGACCCAGACCCCACCAGGTTGCTATGGGGATTCAAGAAGTTATGGTTGGCTATGTTGAGGGGCTGGGGAAGGAGGGCTCTTGTACTTGTTCCTTAAGGACCCTGATGTCAGGTCAGTCTGGAAAATGCTGCCTCCTTTCCCGTGTCAGAGTCTTACTGCAGCCTCTGGGAAGGAGAAGGCCCCAGTAGTTCGCAGCACCCAGTATCCTGCCCAGAGGAATGCAGGTCCTTGTGCCACATCACACAGCATGGGGCATGCTGAGAATGCTAGTTGGAAGAGGTTTGGTTTACTGGGCCTGTGCTTTCCTTAATCATTTTTTTTGGGGGGGGAGGGCCGTGCTGCACGGCACGTGGGATCTTAGTTCCCCGACCAGGGATGGAACCCATGCCCACCGCACTGGGAGCGCGGAGTCTAACCACTGGGCCGCCAGGGAAGTCCCTTCCTTAATCATTTAGTGCCAGGGCCTTAAAGAGACAGACTGGTGTGATTTCATAGATGAGGAAACTGAGGCTGTCACTTGCCAAGGGTCACTCAGGGCTGGGCTGAGAACCCAGGGAGCCGGCCCTGACCCTGTACTTGCGAGCACCTTGTGTGGCTCCCTGTAGGGGAGGTGGCAGTGGGGGCAGGACTGATGGCTGGCACCCATCCCCCACGCCAGGCCCTGAGGATTGTCCTGCACAGCCTGGACCTCCACGCCAACTGCTACCAGCGCTTTGTGGTGCCCCTGCTCAGCATCAGCGCTGACTTCTACGTGCGCGTTTTTGTTCGTGTCTTCACCGGCCAGGCCAAGGTCAAGGCCTCGGCCAGGTTAGCCTGGGGTAGGGAAGGGTGATGGATGAGGGAGGTAACGGGGTCTTTCCCAGGGCTGGGGGAGGGAAGGCTGCCCTGGGGAGCCCAAAGGGGACCCAGTCAGCCTGAGGGAAGAGTTGGGGTATGGTGGCAATTTTAGGAATTGGTGGCCACCCTTGTCTCCCACAGCAAGCAGGCGCTGGTGTTCCAGTGTGTGGGCTGCGGGGCGTTCCACCTCCAGCGCCTTGGCAAAGCATCAGGAGCCTCTGGTGGCCGGTGAGCAAGGGTGAGCTGGGGAGGAAGGTGAAGGGGGCATCCCAGCCAGGGTCACCACCCCCGACCTCACCCCTCTCTGTGCAGGGTCAAGTTCTCTGCAGCCTGCGGCCCCCCTGTGGCCCCAGAGTGTGAGCACTGTGGGCAGCGACACCAGGTGGGGCTGGGCGGGGCTGCGGGGGGAAAGGCCAGGGGGAGGCGGGGGTCCTGGCTGTCCTGATCCCTGCTTATCTGGTCCCTGTGTGTCCATAGCTTGGTGGCCCCATGTGGGCAGAGCCCCTCCACGACCTAGACTTCGTGGGCCGTGTCCTAGAGGCTGTGAGCGCCAACCCTGGCCGCTTCCACACCGCTGAGCGGATCCGTGGGGTCCTGAGCGTCGTCGCTGAGGTGGGGACCGCGCCATGACCGGGAGGAGGCTCCGCTGGTGCCCAGCCATCCTTCCTCGGTCCGCCCCACACCCGTCCCGTCCTCTCTCACAGGAGCTCCTGGATGTACCTCTCTACTACACGCTGGACCAGCTGAGCAGCACCATCCACTGCAGCACGCCCGGGCTCCTGCAGCTGAGGTGAGGCCGGGCCTGGGGTGGAGCCTCTGCCTGACCCCTGGGTGCCCTTGGGCAAGTCGGGTCCCTCTTGGACTGGAGTCCCCTATAAAATGGAGGTCAAACATAACCCAGGTCTAGGGCTTCTCATGCACAAGAGCTTAGAACAGCCCTTAGAAGCCATGAGCCCTGGCCAGGGGGATAGTGTTACTGTTAAGGTGGCTGGCATTATGCAGGCAATGTCGTCACCAGGAGACGTGCGGCCATGCCAGTCTGTGAAACAAGGGTCACGCTCACACACAGGTCAGCACCGACTTTGGGGTCCAGCCTTCCCCTCCCCCTCACGATCCCTCCCGATCCCCAGGTCTGCCCTCCTCCATGCTGGCTTCCGGGTCTCCCTCTCCCACGCCTGTAAGAATGCCGTGAAGACGGACGCCCCCTCCTCGGCCCTCTGGGACATCATGCGCTGCTGGGTGAGGCCAGGCCTGACCAGATGGAATTGGGAAGGCAGGGGATGGTCAGCGCCAGCATTCTCTGACCTCTGCCCTTTGCCTCCCAGGAGAAGGAGTGTCCAGTGAAACGGGAGCGCCTGTCGGAGACCAGTCCGGCATTCCGCATTCTCAGCGTGGAGCCCAGGTAGGGGCATGGCACGGATACGGCTGCCCACAGGCTCGGGACGCAGACGACACAGACCCTCCTCCTCACAGACATGTGTTCATTCTTCAAGTGAGACCCAGAATCCGTCCACTTCTCTCCCTCCCCTTCTGCCCTCACCCTATTCTGGTCCCAGTACTGCTCACCTGGGCCAGTGCAGTGGCCTTCACTCTGGTCCCCCAGCTCTCCTACCCCCGCATTCTGTTCCCCCCGCAGCGGCCAGAGGGCACCTGTGAGCACAAGTCAGACACATCCCATCCCTCCTCTGCTCAGAACCCTCCGTGGCTCCCACCTGACTCACTAGAAACAGTTCTGTCTGCAGGCCCTGCAACATCTCCCCCTCACCTCCCTGCCCTCATTCGTCCACCACCACCCCCCCCAACTCCACACTGGCCTCCTCACCCAAACTCACCAGGCACAGCCCCTCCTCAGGGCCTCTGCGTGGCTCAGGCACAGCCCCTCCTCAGGGCCTCTGCGTGGCTTCCAGACTCCCCATTCCCTCTGCTGTGCTTTTTCCCCCAAAACTCTTAACCTCATGCCCTCACACGTTATAATTCGCTGATTTCTGATTTGCCCCATTGCTTGCCTGTCTTATGCGTTAGAATGTCAGCTTTACTGGCCGCAGACTTCAGGCACACCGTAGGCACTTGATAAATGTTTCTTAAAGGAATGATAGAAACCCGACGTCTGCAGACAGTTTTCCCAAAGCACATCGAGCTGCACTGAGGTGGGCAGGCGGCCTGGGCGGTGTGTGCCCGCCTGCCTGGCAGATGCCCTTCAGCCCCCACCCTCATTTCCCTAGGCTGCAGGCCAACTTCACCATCCGGGACGATGCCAACCCCAGCTCCCGCCAGCGAGGACTCAAGCGCTTCCAGGCCAACCCCGAGGCCAACTGGGGTCCCCGGCCCCGCGCCCGGCCACGGTGAGTGAGAGTGGGATGGGGGTGGGGCTTGGCTGGGGGGAGTGGGTACAGAGGCCAGACGGAGCCTCCGCTACTCATCTCCCTACACAGAGGCAAGGCAGCAGGCGAAGCTATGGAAGAGAGACGCAAGCTGCTCCAAAATAAGCGAAAGGAGCCGGATGAGGACCTGGCCCAGCGGGCTGCCCAGCTCAAGACATTTCCCTGCAAGAGGTTCAAGGAGGTGAGGTGCCCCCCAGCCCCCACTGGAGCACACGTGGGTTCGCCTCCCAGCAACAGGGCTGGGCCAATGGGCAGGCAGGGCTGGGAGAACTGGGGTCAGGCAAGTGTGTGGGAGTGAGCTCCCCATCCAGGGAAGGAGCCCAGCAGAGGCTGCTGAGCTCCGGGCCGGGGTTCATTCGCACCCATCATACTCCCACCAGGGCACCTGCCAGCGGGGGGAGCAGTGCTGCTACTCTCATAGCCCCCTGACACCCAAGGCCACTGCTGAAGCCACCCCCACTGACTGTCCAGAGGCCCCCGATCAGAACCCCCTTGGGCCTGGGGCTGCTGCTGGTCCAGGCGAAGACTGAGCCAATAAAGACTTTTCACCTTCCCCTGACTGTCATTTGTCTGAATGGGGAGGCTGCCTGTGGTGTGTCTGTCCATCTGCTGGAGGGGCTCTGTCCATCTCTTCAGCTGCTTGTCTAGGGTCTGTTCCTCTGTCCATCTGTTTTAACTCCCTTGGGGAGCTCTGTGCATCTGGGCTGTGTTTGTCCCTGCCTGAATGAAGTGTTGTCATTGTTTCTGACGGGAGTGTTCTGTCTGTTTTGGGGAGGTGGGGATGATCGTCTTCCTGCAAGGTGCTTAGCCACCCATTTGCTGGCGCCTGCCGTTTCCGACGTGGCCACCGAGCGGCAGCCGTGCGCTCACGCCCGCAGGGACCTTAACCCCCTTCCCCTTCCTCCCACCCTCCCAGCGTGGGCGCGCCCCCTGGACGCAGGCACGCGCGCAGGCTGGGGTTCTAGACCCCGCGCCCGTCTATGGACTCGCGCCCCCGCCGCCGCCGCCACCTCGCCGCCTGGTTTCTCTGGCCCAGTTCCCGCCAGGGCCCCGGTGGCGGAAGCCGGACCGGAACCAGGCGCCTCATGCATCCGCTCCAGACCAGGTGCTTCCTGCCCTGCGGCCCCTCGGGCTCACACACTGAGGCACCCGGCAGCCTGCTGCAACCCCTCCCCCCCAGGGCAGGGGCGGGGGGCAGCGTTAACGAAGAGGCCTGGGGCAGAATCCCCACCCTGCCACGTGGTAGCTGTGGGACTCTGCAAGCACCGTTTACCTTGCTTCATCCCCATCTGTAAAATGAACCTAATTCCAGAACCCACCTTGTAGGGATACCAGAGTTAACTCGTATGTTTAGAACTGTACTTACTCTTGCTTCCCTGGGACAGTAGGAAGGTTACTTGTGGGGTCCTGGGCTTCACCTGATTTCTGAGTGGGGCGTGACAGTTTGGTGCTGGGTGGCAGCTGAGGGCCTGCCTGGGGCTCCTGCAGTCACCCAGATATGCACCGGGCAAAGTACGACTGACCCGGTGGGAGGTTGCTGGGGATAGGGGACAGTGTTAATGTTGACAGTGTCACTGCTTACGTTGTGGTACCCAGCACCCCTCCCTTTGTGAGGCCCAGCAGGAACTTGAGCTTTACCACCATTCCAAGATATTTACCCAATGCCTCTTTATCACTGTCCGCCCTGAAGTGGCCCCCACTGTGGGATGAGGGCCAAGGACCTGTGAGTTGGGGCTATGTGATCCTGTGACGGAGAGGCCCAGGATTGTGGGGACCTGCCGGGGAGGCACCTACTAGAAGGTTCTGCCAGCTCTGGCATGGGAGGAAATCTCCCCCAGCTGTGGCACTTCCCCTCACCCTCCTGGGCCTGGAAAGGTGGTGTGGATAA